CGGATCCGGTTCGTAAGTAGAGGCGGAGTTCGCAAGTAGAGGGAAATTTTGGGGGCCCGAGCTGGGCGTATATTTGAAAATTCGTAAGGAGGGGCGTTCGTAACTAGAGGTACCACTGTGCATGGAAGTTCAACCTTCCAGGATGCTAATGCACAGGACCACTTTGGACCCTTCTGTTCAGTACCCTTCCAGAATTGCAGAAGCCACACAGCCATTGCAACAACAGTAGTTCTTGCCTTGGACCTCTGTTTCTTGCATTGTCAGTCAAAAGCTTAAGCTTCCCATAAGGTTTTTCAATGTCAGATAATGTTTTCCTTGGAAAAGGAGTGGACGTCAGTGTGCTATATCACCTGCAAGCTCTTGGACTAGGATATACATGTCTCTTCTGGCCTAGCAGATTTAGTAATTGAAAGCTCGTGCTCTTTAATTTGTTGCCTCTTTTCAGCCTCTTTTTTATATCCTCAGTGATCCAGTACAGCTTCACCACTATTTTCGTGGCTGCTTTCCCCCTTGCACCACTTCTGGCCTTTGTCAATAACCTTATTGAGATTCGGTTGGATGCTATCAAAATGGTGAGACTGCAGAAGCGAATGGTGCCCAAGAAAGCTAACACCATTGGTAAGATGAGGATCAAAGAGAGAGATTTTTTTTCCCAGCCCACTTGGTCGGCCTGCTTGATGTCTCAAAGCAGCAATTCTACTGCAATAAAGGTGCTACCAAGTGTTCTTTTGATGCAGCTGCTTTTAGGCAAGGTGTTAGAATCTCGGGATTGAATCAGCCGCTTTGATGGACTTTGAGGTCCAAAGCAATATATCAACCTCAGAGCTTCTGACTTACAACAGTGAAGCACAGCCTCCCAAGTCTAGATTTAGCTGGGTTTGGCCATAGCAAGAAGGTCCGACAGAGAAAATCCATTAGATGCTAGTTGGAGAATGAAAATGAGGAACGCAAGCGATTACACCACGTTCCCAGTGTCCTCTCTAAATAACACACAGGTCACCACATTCTTCCACATTGCTTTCTCTCTCAGAGTATTAGAAATCAATCCTTATTACTCCAGTTAATACATTACAGCCCATGGTTCATTTATATTCTATATTTTCTACAAATACGATGTATTCAGAGCAGTTTGCAGGAAATGGACTATTCTTCCCTGTGAGGGGCAGGGATAAGGATTGATTACTATTAGGGCAAACTCTCCTCCTTCCCCATATTGACTAAGAATATCTCTTTTGTTTCTCATTCCCTTTGCAGGTATCTGGTACTATATCCTAGAAGCAATTGGTATACTGTCTGTAATCGGCAATGGCCTCGTTATTGCCATCACCTCAGATTTCATCCCCATGCAGGTGTACAAATATACATTCAGCCCATGCAAGCAGAAGAACTATACTGGCATTGAGTTAGTATTATCTGAAATCCTAACATGGCTGTTAAATATAATGTATAGTTTATAGTTGGATCTTTATTTAAATAGATATATTTTTCATAACTTTTCTCTAAGCTTAAGGCTAGTGGGATAAAAGATATGGATCATCATCATCATCATCATCATCATCATCATCATCATCATCACAGGAATATAACTGGATTTCAAGAACCTTGTGTGTTTGTTAGGATTAGTGACCTTGTATTTGTAGCAGGCCCTGTTGCTTCTCTGGCAATGTTTGCATGGTAAATAATTGTGATTAACTCAATTCAGTGGCCTTGATTCACATGAAACATTGAACCAGAATTCACATTGAACATTGAAGAGGATGGGTTCCCACTACCCAGCAATCTAAAATGTAGTTGAACAGTTTGTTCAGAGCATCACGTGGATGTGGCCTCTTGGTGTTAGGCTCTCTATCAAGTGTGTCATCATGTATGGTTGTGGAGAGAAGAAATAAAAAGGTAGGTAGATTAAAATGAAGAAAAAAGTTAGAACTAATCGAAAAAGGCAATGCTTGAAAAGTAGAGAAAAGGAAATTAAAATGGCCTTTAAAAGAGTGGCACATTTTGTGAAATATGTGCGAGAGAATCAGTATATTTTCCTCACAGAAAAAATCTAATACTGTCTTATTATTGGTGGCCTTCATTTAATCATATTACATGCATGCCCTGTAATGAAAAGTATTGCACTGAGGAAAAATATCTCCCATGTTGGAACATCAAAGAACCCAGTAACTTACAAATGCAACTTAATCCAGATGCATACACATGAAGTATTTTCTTCCATGTTTCACATAATAATGAAATTACAGTATTAGGTCAGATTACAGACATTTTAACTTGCAGTTGGAAATCTGAAACATCAATGTTGCTAATAGGAACTTCAAAACAATTAGGATAATGAGTAAATCTACCTTGCGATAAATAGGACTGGACTTGGAATAGGACCTTCTTTCAGGTCCATTTGAAATCTCATTCTATGGCAGTGGGTGCCACAAAGAGGACTTACTTCTCGGCCTCTGTTCTGCACAGAAGAGACTGGTGATGCTTTTTGATACTGTGCAGAGTCTCCTCTTTAATGATGCGGAGTGAGGGAGAGCTAGAACACTCAGAGATTCAATGGGGACACTTTTTGTCATTCTTTGCAGACAGAGATGATTAGATTTGCCTCAATTTGGACTCCAGTACTGGGGCAGGTAATAGAAGATTATCTTGGCTGCTGCTTGTCAGGTTCATATGGATTGTTTTCAGCTTGAACCTGAGGATATGGACAGAGTGTTAGGAGAGACGAGAGCCACCACTTGCTTGCTCAAACCTTTCCTTTCCGGTTGATTAAGTTGGCTAGGTTGAGATTGCCCACATGGTTAAGGAAGGTGATAAATATCTCCTTGAGCATGAGATTAGTTCTGCATGTTTAAAGGAAGCAGCTATAAGACCGTTACTGACAAAGTCCTCTCTTGACCCAGAAGTCCTTTCTAATTATAACTCAGTATCAAATATTCCATTCTTGGGCAAGGTGATTGAGAAGGTTGTGGACTCACTTTCTGCATCTGGATGAAACTGATTTTCTGGATTAATTTCAATCAGGGTTTCATTTGGGATATGGTACTGAGGCTGATTGGGTCACCTAGGTAGGTGTGGAGGTAGGTGTGGAGGAATACCACCATGCTAGTTCTCCTGGGCCTCTCAGCAGCTTTTGATACTGTCAACCATGGTATGTTTCTGGGCCTTCTGGTGGGGTTGGGTCATGGGGCCATTGTTTTGGAATGGATCTAGTCCTTCCTCTTGGGACATGCCCAGAAGGTGATGCTACAAGAGTTGTTTAACAGCTAGATCACTGACTTATAGTTTCCTCCAGAGTTCTATGTTATCTCCTGTTTTATGTAATATCAACATAAAACTGCTGGGGGAGCCCATTAGAGCTTTGGAGTGAGATGCCATCAGTACACCAATGACACCAAGCTCTATTGCTCCTTCCCTTCTAACAACAAGGAGGCAATCAGTACATTGCCTAAATGTATTAATGGGCTGGATGATGGACAACAAGCTGAATTCAGATCCGGTCAAGAAGTGCTACTGGTAAGGAAAAAGTTGGATTCTGGTATTAGTGAAACTTCTTCTGGATGAGATTGCAGTCCCCAGAACAGCAGGTTTGCAGCCCTGGGAATGCTCACAATCCTCAACTGGATATGCAGGTGGCAGCTGTGGCAAGTATTAGGTTTGCGCAATTAGAGCTAGAGTATCAGTTGTGACCCTTCCTGAGCCATGTCTTGGTTACAAACTGTCTCAGCTGCTACAGTTACTCTACATGGCGCTACCCTTGCAAAGTGATTGAAAATTGCAATTAGAACAAAATGCAGCAGGTAGGCTGCTGATTGGTACAAAGTGCAGAGATCATATGATGCATGTACTGAAAGATCTGCACTAGCTTCCAGTTGCCTACAGGACATAATTTAGGGTACTACTGTTGAACTTTGAAGGTTTAAAACCTGCAGGACTGTCTGTCCCACCATAAGCCTATACTGACCAGCCATATAGATCAGTGGGAGAGATCTATATGGAAGATTTCCTGCTGCCAAAAGCTCACCCTATCAGCTATGTGGAAAGGGTCTTGCCCTGTGTGGCTCACCAAGCTTTTATTATTTAAATGATGAGTTCTGATTTTAATTGTATTAAACTTATTTTGTGACTTTGTATTTTTGATTGTCGTTAAGTTACCTTGAATGTTAGAATGAACAGAAGGGGGTAGAAATAAATAAATACAAATCTATTCTGGTCCAAATTTAAGTATTACAACCTGTAAAACTGATTGTTGCTTTGTTCTCCTTCTGTAGCTGTTTGACAGGTTATATCAACCACAGCCTTTCAGTGTTCAACATCCAGCACTTTGAGAATACTGTGACTCTGGTGGACCTTAAGGACCCAGTGGGGAATGTGATAACCCACTGCAGGTATTGGCTAATGCCTATCAATGTTCCTATGCCCTCGGCTTCAAAACAGAAACTACACAACCAGGCCAAATAATGTTTTTGGATATATGTCTCCTTTGTGTTCAGTACTCTAATGGCAGAACTGGTTTTTACAGAAACACGTTTTATACATATACACAGCAGGATTTATTTTATGCTACTTCTGCTTTGCCTGACTATGCTCAAAGCTCTTTAGAAGTTAAACAACACATTACATTAAAATAATATTAAAGCAAACTTTACACTGGCATTCTAAGAGCATTTGTTTTACCTATTGAAGCAAAAATGGCCATTTTAAAGCAGAGAAAAAAGTATGTGAAGGCAGCTTGGGGGAGGGGGGCAGAATAAATTGCGAAGTTTATCTGTTTCTTTCCACTTTCTCCAGGTATCCAGACTACAGGAACAGTGATGACTACAGTTATTCTATTGAGTTTTGGAATATTTTTGCTGCACGTGTTGCCTTTCTATTTGTATTTGAAGTAAGTGTTTGAGTTGCAAAAACATGGAGATATTTTTATGCAGGCAGCAAAGCCTACAGAGTTAGTTTTAGGTGAAATCATCTGTGAGCACAAATAACCACTGAAGAATACTGTTGAAGACAGATGTACAAAACCTTCTAAGAAAGGCAACCTGTGTCTGTAGGGCTTTCCTGTCTGGCCCCCTGGCCTCTCCTCAAGCCTTACCACATTTCATTATGTGAAAAAGTGTCCCTTCCTTCACAGGCATTGTGCTGTCTTTCCATGTGTGTGAAAGAGAAGTAGAATGGAATATGTGTAAGAGTAAGAATGGAGTGTGACAGAGAGCAAACGAGGGTCGGGTGAGTTGTGGGGAAAAAGGGTCAGCATCTGCATCCAAGCAGCAGACTTGGATTGTGGTCTTACCCGTTGTTGACATGTGGCTTCCAATGTGAACGTCCAGAGCCAGCACACTGCCTTAATGGTCTATAGCTTTACTGGATGCTTGGTTAGCTCAGCAGGACATATCACAGTGAGAGCATTTGTCTCCTCCAGCAAAGTGTGATTGAAGTTCCTACCCAAATCCAGTCGATTGCTCCATCATAACTGATTATTGATTGAAATCCATCTACAAACATCTGCCTTTTAACATTTCCGTAGCAGGAGAAGGTTATCCTCAGGAACCAGGACTTTATACTGCAGCAGACAAATCAACATGGAATGTAGCAGCTTGGCCAGAGAAACTGTCTTGTCAAAATACTCTGTTTTAAGAAGCTGTTTATGTCAAAACTTCTGCAATCTCCCCCCACCAAGGTCCAAATCTGTATGCAGATAGGAATCCCTTGTTATCTGCCAGGTACTCAAGAGGCCAGATCTATTTAGCATTAGAGATGAAATTATGCTATGTCCTATGATGTGAGCCTCAATGAAACCCCCTTTCCAGTTAGCAATGGAAAATAATACTTTCTCATCTTGAGTGCCTTTTCCAAGATTAAGAAGGCATCACCTTCTCTTAGTTGGATTTACATTTAGTGCTAATCCATAATGTGTGGTTTAATTTGGCTTGATGTGTGATTTCTAAAGTTTAGGTTTTGGCTTAGCATCATGTGCACACTAAGCCACTGTGGCTTGTTTCATAAACTAACCGTTAAGTCAGAGTTGGCACAAAGAGGATCCTGACCATTGCTTCAGGATATAGTATGCTGGTTGATTTATAATGCTACTGGTCTGTCAGTGGAAAGATTTAAATCAGTTGTAGTAAAAGCTTGATTTGGGCTATAATTCCGAACTGCCATGATGTAGTAATGATGTAGTAGTCAGTGTTCCAAGTAGTTTAGAAGAGCAGTTTGCTTGATTACTACTAGACATTGCCTAGATGATGAAACAGCCTGAAGGAACAATATCATGATAATTCTGTGATCTTTTTCCAGCATGTGGCTCTTTGCATTAAACTAATTGCAGCATGGTTGGTACCTGATGTGCCCAGAAGGGTTAAAAATCAGCATCTGAAAGAAAAACGTAACAGGCTGTTGGCAAAGCTCAGGTAAGTGTTTATTTAATATCAAAAAATAAAAGATATACAAAACTCTCAAAAATCCAGCAATGGACACAAAGACTGCCAGTTGACAATTGGGGACATTAATATTTTCCAAATGTATACATCTCCTTCTTTGCTCTACTGTTGGTACCTCTTGATTCACTAAAGATGCATAAGAGCAGCAAATACTTGATTGTAAGAAAGCTTATTCCCTGAGAACCTTTCAGAAATAAACTGTCAAAGACCAGGATTAGCATACCACAGTAAACTCAACTGCTTTGGCTCTTGGAGTTCTTGCGAGCCCTGCATGTTGACGCTGTGCACTAACTGTGGACACCCTTTAGCGTTCTGTGCTTTTTGAACCGAACAGATAGAACCATGGAATGTGATTGTTGTTGTTTAGTCGTTAAGTCGTGTCCGACTCTTCGTGACCCCATGAACCATA